TTCTCCTCCGCCACCCACCCACCCACCCCGAGGCCGCGCCTGCCCCATCCGACCTGCCCCCCTCCCCCCATCCAGCCGAGGGGGGGGGGGTGGGGGGCAGGGCGCCAGTGGGATGTGGGTGGGGGTCCCGTCCGCCGAGATGTGTGCTCTTCACCGCCCCAGATTCGGATCCGCTCCTTTGGCGTCGATGCCCGCCCTGCTTCGCCGTGGTGCGCGGTGCGCGGTGCGTGTCGGGGCAGCTCCGGCTCGGGCGCAATCCTGAGCAGCAGAACCAGCCAGAGCACGGCGGGTCCGAAGTCAGGGCGGTCCCAGCGGTTGCTGCCCTGCGGCGCGGCGCCGCCAGGCGAGCCGGCGCGCGGACGAGAGGGAGCGCCGCGCCAAGCGCGAGGAAAGGGAGAGGAGCCAGTTCCTCTTCGAGGAGCCGTCAGACGCCCCCACCATCATCCTCCCTTACCTCCCTCCCCTCCTCCTCCTCCTCCTCCTCCTCCGTCCTCCTCCTCCTCCTCCTCTCCTCCTCCTCCTCCTCCTCTCCTCCTCCTCCTCCTTTCAATACTCAATATGAATACTACTCTCCTCCTTCCCTGATGACGGGTTGGGAGTGTTCGCCCCCCCCCCCCCCCCCCCGCGTACTGTTTTTTACACAGGCTTCCCCGGAGTTGGGTTTTCGCCTGCATCTTTTTCCCTACCTAGGCTCTGCCTGGAAGGGTTCTTACTCTCTTAGCTTAAAGGGGCCGGGCAGTGGAACACGCCCCGGGCGGTTCCCCCAGTCCCCTGAGAGCGGTTCCCCCCAGTCCCCTGGGAGCTTTAGCTTTAGCTTTAGCTTTAGCTTTAGCTTAGCTTTAGCTTAGCTTTAGCTTAGCTGTAGCTTAGCTTTAGCTTGCTTTAGCTTAGCGTTTCGCTTAGCGTTTAGCTCAGTGTTAGCTTAGCTTGAGCTTAGCTTGAGCTTAGCATTAGCTTAGATTTAGCCTAGCTTTAGTTAGTTGTAGCTCAGCTTTAGCTTAGATTTAGCTTAGCCTTAGCTTAGCATTAGCTTAGATTTAGCTTAGCTGCTGCTCAGCTTTAGCTTAGCTTAAGCTTAGCTCTAGCTTAGCTTTAGCTTAGCTGCGGCTTAGCAATAGCTTAGCTTTAGCTTATCTCTATCTTAGTTAAGCTTAGCTGGCGGCTTGGGCTTTATGCTTAGCTTTTAGCTTAAGCTTTAGCTATAGCTTAGCTTAGCGATAACTGTTACTACTAATCTCGCTTCCCCATGGGTTCCAACTCCTAGGTAGGGTCGCACTGGGATAATTTCAAAATGCTGCTCTCGCTGAGGCGCCGGCCTCATTTTCGGGCCCCGCTCGTTCCGAATCGTGCTCCCGCTGCAGCGCTGGCCTCATTTTCGTGCTTCCGCTCGTTCCGAATCGTGCTCCCGCTGCAGCGCTGGCCTCATTTCGCTTCCGCTCGTTCCGAATCGTGCTCCCGCTGCAGCGCTGGCGTCCTTCCCCGTGCCATGCCACGGCATGCCATGCAATGCTCGGTTGCGCTCCGCTGCGCGATGCCATGCCTTCAGCTGAAGCCGTGATATGCAGTGCTTACGTGCCACGTCGTGCTATGCCATGCCACGCTTTGATCTTCAACGCCATGTTATGCAATGTTATGTTCGGGGCCGCTGTACGATGCCATGCTTTGCGTGGCAAAGCTTTGCGATGCAATTCTTCACTACGCCACGCCATGCCATGCTGTGACATACTACGTTTTGCGGTGCTCTTCTGCGCCATGCCACGCCGTGCTCTACAATGCAACGCGTACCGTTTCGGGATCATTGCCCTGCTCGACATCCGATTGTGCCCTCCTCCTCCTCTGTTTCCCCCTCCCCGTGGCCATTTTGGCTCAAGATGCTTTGTTCCACAGGGGAACACGTGGATACCGCTAGTCCGCGGCCAGTCTTCAGTCCTTCCCCTGGTCAGCCCCAGGGCGAGCGTCGAGGTGGTCCGCCACACCTTGGCGCGTCTCTCTCATCCCAGGCATGGTGCCGCAGCCGCCAGCGGTCACTGTGCTCCGCGGCCCGCGCAAGCCCCACTGGTGCTGCGGGCAATGTGGGCGCGCGGAGAACTGGGCGTGTCGCATCCAGTGCCTATGCGGGCGCGACGCGCCTGCCGCCATCGTCCCTCGTGCTCGGCAGAAGCGCAAGGAGGCCGAGGCTGGCGGCAGCGGCGGCAAGAAGTCGGGCCCCAAGCGGCAGGAGGCTCGACGCAGGGCATCCCCAAGCAGCTCGCGGAGTGGATGCAGGCCATCGAGAAGCGCTTGGCGCCGCCCGACAAGGAGTGGCCCAAGCCTGCGGCACAGCGCCGTGGCGTGAGGCTGCAGACGGCGCTGACCCTGATAAGAAGTCGCAAAGTGCCAAGCTCGCGGAGCGGATCACGGAGCTTGAGGAGTGCCTCAGGAAGCTTCCACCCGTTGACGAGCGCAACAAGGATCTTCGGGGTCCGATCGAGAAGCAGTTGGAGACTCTGCGTGCGGAGAAGCGTGCGCTGCTGTCTCCCCAGGCCCTCCATCGGCGCACGCAGCAGGATCTGCAGCGGGCGAGGAATGGCCTGGAGAAGTTGGAGAAGGAGTCGGGTGAGAAGGAGCGCCAGCTTGGATGAGCTGGCCAAGGGCATCGCGATGCGCAAGGAGACGATCGCAGCCAAGAAGCTGGAGGTGGCGGCGCTGGACGCTGCATTCAACGAGTCGGCCAAGAACCCCACCACGGTCGCGGCCGAGATCGACCTTGTTGAGGAGGACGTGGCCGACCAGCCCGACCTCGTCGCCTCCTCAAGTCCGAGGCATGGGCCAAGCTCAAGTCGGCGGTCGCCAGCAAGGCTGCTGCCCGCGCTGCCAGCGCTGGGGCTGTTCCTCCTGCTGCTGACGCCGCTGATGAGGCTATGCCTGCCCCCACGGACGTGCAGAAGCGAGCCCTCTTCCACGCGCGGAGCGAGGGGGACTTCGACGGCTTCACGTCCGCCTTCGACACCATGTGGTCCGAGCTGGCGGCCAAGCGCGCGCGGCACGGGTAGCCCAGCGGCTGCCTGGTCCGATGTCTGCGGGCTGCCTGGGCGTGGGCAGGCGCCGCCGAGCGGGGCCAGGTCGGCTGTTGGCGCCGAGTTCAGCATCGGGCCCTACAGCGCCAGTGGCGGCAAGGCGCCCGTCAAGAAGCGCCTTGCCAGCACGTCGGCAAGCGTGGTTTTGCTGCAGGGGTCCGGGCACATCAGCGAGCACGTTGAGGCATTGGCTTCGCGGTGCGGTGTGCGAGGTTGGAAGCTTATGGCGTTGCCGAGCCTGCCGACTACTGGTTCTGCACCGTCGGCAGGAGTTGCTGTTGCCGCGCGCGATCGCCTCGGGCTGCGCCCCCCCCCCCCCCCCCCCCCACACCACCGCCACCACCACCACCACCACCCTCGGATCGCACGAGGTCTTGCCGAACCGAGTTCAGCACGTTCTCCTAGATATACCCGAGTCGCCTGTCGGCCTGCATGTCTTCAACGTGTATCTGTACACGGGCGAGGGCGCTGCTGGCCGCAACGGCAGGCTGTTGCAGGAGTTGGGCCTTGTTGCTGAGGCATTGGACGGTCCCGTCGTCATCGGCGGCGACTGGAACATGTGCCCTGGCGAGTTGGAGGCGAGCAAACTTCCTGCTCATATTGGTTGTTCGATTGTGAGCACTTCTTCCATCACGTTTCGAGGAGGTACAGGTCAGTCCATCATTGATTACTTCCTCCTCAACTCAGCGGCCATGAGGATGTACGCGAGCGTGGGCATTGATGTCAAGTGGGCCAAGCGAGGCCATCGTCCCGTTCATGCCGTCCTCAAAGGTGATGCTGAGCATGTCAAACGACTGGTCTACACGGTGGCGCCAAAGATGGGCACTCAGATCACCATCGGGCCGCAGGTGCAGCCGCCTGCTTACACTAGCGCTCGGTGCGTTGCTGAAGCTGCCGTGCAGACCTGTGCTGGTCCTGAGTCTCCCCCTGGAGTTGGATGGGGCCTCCTCTCGGCGGCGCGGGGCCACTTTGCAGTCGCGGCTGCCGCGGCTATGGCTGACGCTGTTGGTCATCAGGATCGCATTGTTCTTGATGGTTTTGCGCGTCCCTTGCAACCTCGGTGGATCGACATCACCCACACGGCGAAGGACGTGTCCGACCTGCAAGCCGTGGCAGAGGGATGGCAGTGGTTGCAGTCTTCCCTCCTCAGCATCCTGCAGTTTAAGACGATGGTCCACCCGTCCGCGCAGGACTTGGCGATGGCTGCAGAGGAGATCATCAATTCCACCACGGCCAACTACCACGGGCAGGGTTTCGTTGCGCGCCTCGATTGAGCTGTTCAGCAGGCGCGCGGCTTGGTGCATGCTGCCTTTGACGAGGGGGCCTGCCGCGAGAAGTACCGTGACGTTGCTCAGCCCACGGTGGCCCCTACGGCCCATGGTGTTTCGGCTCATGCTCATGATGTCGTTCGGCATTAGGTGGGGCTGCACACGAGGCCATGGCCCAGCTCCCGACCTGTGCCAGCATGGATTCCTGACCGAACGGCGCTGCCGAAGGCGACTCCTGACGAGATACGTGCACTTGCGCGATCGTTCTCGGTCAACACCACAGCGGCGCCTGATCATGTTCACCCTCGTCACTTCATTCTCTTGGACGATCAGGCGCTCGAGGTGGTCGCCCCAATGTTCACGGCGATGGAGTCCCTCGGCCTGGCGCCGATGCAGCTGTGCTGGTTGATCGCGCCAATGCTACCCAAGACGTCTGGCGCCGGCAGTCGGTTGGTGGTGCCCCATGCTGGTCTTTACAGGATCTGACAGCGGCTGCGACGGCCAGTGCTTCGAGAGCTGCAGGAGCAGATTGACAGGCCGCACTGGGGCGCCGCTCGTGGGCGGCCCTCCGTCGACTGCGCGTGGCCCCAGGCGGCCGAGGGCGAGGCCGACGGCAGGCAGGCCTACCACGGAGCGCTCGCCGTGGCCGACTTCAGCAAGTGCTACGAGCGCATCCCCTTGACCAAGCTGCGCGACAAGTACATCAGCTTCAACACGCCCACGGCCTTTCTGAAGCGGGTGTGCAACATGTGGCGCGCGCCGCGTGTGCTGAGGCTGGCTGGCCATCATGCGGAGCAGGCCCTGCGTGCTGATTGCGGCCCCCCTGCGGGGGATGTTTTTTGTGATGTGTCGATGAAGGCATGGTCTGTAAGGGGGTATGACAGCTTCCTCGTCAGGCAGCCTTTCATTCAGTTTGTGAGCTACATTGACGACAACTCCATTCGGGTTTCGTCGACCACAGTGAGCACGACTACTTCCAGGATGGTCGACGCCATGCTGGAGTTCAGGAGCACGGTCTCGGAGCTCGACGCGATCATCAACGACAAGCTCGTGATCGTCGGCACCAGCCTCCCCCTTGCGCAGGGCACCGTTGCCA